GATCGAACGTCTGCGTCGGGCTGAGAAGCCATATCTGAAGTGCCTCTTGATGCAAGTGGTAATATTCTTTATGCTGTCAGATTTCTGATATTGTATATGTTTCTCTTGTATCCATGTACTAAAGTGGTTGGTATCCGTAGATGAATGTCTCTTGGAAGCCTCATGTGTCCCTTTCTTTCCTTTTTTTGTTTGCTTTTCTTTTTTGGAAGAAATAAGTTTTTATTGGGTAGTGTTTGGATGACCAATGCTCTAGAAATGTGGAGTCTGTTATTTTCCCTAGACTTATGACACTGATGGACATCCTGTTTGCTCCACCAACATGGACATTCTTCATTAGTAATGGAATCAAATATTCAGATGAGATTATTCCAAGCTAATCGGGGTTGGTCGTATGAAGACTCTTGATGGGGCATAATCATGTTTTCCCCCGTTTTCCCCTTCTTTTAGAAATGAACAAAAAACTTGACTGTGCTTTGATTTTATACTTGTGGTAAAATGCTGATGTTTCTATGTGCTTCAAGTTCTGGTACTCAAATTGCTGATAGCTTATTGTTTTTTTCTAGGTTTTGTTTCACGCACTTGTGGTTATATACTAGGTTTTTTGTTGTTGTTGATGTTGTTGTTTCACAGGTTGCTGATGTTCCTATTGTTTGATAATTTTCCTTTTGGCAGATAGCTGATGCTCTTTACTATAATGCATCCCTGACACTGAACATACTTCAAAAGCTTGGCATTGCTACAGAGGTCTTTAATCTCTGGTTCCAGATGTTGGGACAAACAAAAAAGAGTGGAGCGCGGGTCAACTTTAAGAGGTAAATACCTGTTACTCTCTCTGTCTCCGATGAAAAGGAGAGAGAAAACAACTTTGAATGAATTAGCAGCAAAACTGGTGTACTTATGCCCCTTGTATTGTTTTGCAGGGAACATGACAAAAAGGTTTGCTGCTTGGGCTTGACATCTTTGCTCCCTCTTCCTGTGGATCAATTGCCAGGGGAGGCCTTAGAGCGTGTTTTCAAAGCAGCTCTAGAGCTGCTTGTTGCCTACAAGGATCAAGTAGCAGGTTAAAACTTCTTTTCCTTTTTCCTCATTTCTCTCGCACAATGCTACTATATATACCAGCATCTAAGCATATTTGTCTACAGAAGCCGCTAAGGAGGATGAGGCAGAAGATGATGATGATATGCATGGATTACAAACTGATGAGGACGATGACGAAGATGATGGATCTGACAAAGAAATGGGGGTTGATGCTGAGGAAGGGGATGAAGCTGACAGCACTAGGCTTCAAAAATTGGCTGCACAGGTGAGTACATATAAATTGTGCTTGTAATCTACTATTGGGATCTGTCTTGTTGATGCTCCATTTTGTTTGTGTACTCATGTTATGGAGTAGTCATCTGTTGCTTGACCCTCTTGTTTTAAACTGAATGAGGAATCAGAATACATTAGTATTTTTGCGATTGAATTTGCTGCTTGAGCTGGATCTTTTCCCCATCCTTTACGTGGTAACAGTGACACTGATGATAAGTTGACATATTACCTGGGGTTTTTGTTATAACCAAGAAATTCCTGAGGGCCAGCTAGCGCACGGTTCGAAACTAGGTGGATAATGGGCCTGCCCTCTACTTTTCTATATTTAAGTACCGCGTTTTTGTCTGCAGCAGGGTTTGAACTCGTGACGTCCGCCTAATCTACATATTACGCTCTATGCTCTTATCACTTAACCAAAGCCCTGGGGCAAGAATACACAGGGTTTCTTTAGAATGGTTATGATTTATGAAGACCTCCCCTGTTGTATGCATAGTGATATGAGTTTCGTAGTGACAGTTTTTGTCCCTTGGAGCACAGAAAGGAATCAAAGTACCTTCTGCAAGATTACCTTTGTGATGGCTTCTTGTGAGAGAACAAATTACAGATTCGGCCTGGATACCTTTAGCAACCCATTAGAGTTTTCATCTCTTAAAGCTTTGACATCTTTTTGCTGCTTTTGCAGGCAAAAGCATTCCGTTCGCACGACTCCGAGGAAGATGATGACTCCGATGATGATTTTAGTGATGATGATGAAGAGTTGCAATCACCCCTGGATGAGGTGGATCCCTTCATTTTCTTTGTGGAAACGATCAAAGGTATGGTGCTGCCTGCTTGTTTGCTCTGGTTATTTTGATATAGGGATGGGTTTGCTTTGTATTAGGCAACGGAGTCACTTATTTCTTCCCCTCTATCCTTGGACTGTTAAATCCAGCTATGCAGGCATCTGATCCATTAAGGTTCCAGAGCCTCACCCAGACTCTGGACTTTCATTATCAAGCATTGGCAAATGGTGTTGCTCAGCATGCCGAGCTGAGAAGAGTAGAGATAGAGAAGGAAAAGATGGAGAAGGCATCAGTAACAGCTGCTTCATGATTTTGGTGGGCCGGTTTGCTTATGGCCAAACTCAATTTGCTCCGAGTACTTCAGCTATCCCTTTCATTCAATAATGATTTGAGAAGATATTAAGTTGCTAAGTCTAAAGGATTTGAAAGGTTTGCTGGTTTCATTAATTTGCGAGTCGTGATGAGTAATCACATCCAAATATGCACAGTGGTTCCAGAGGGGCAGAAGATGAGCCGCGACTGGGTCTGCTTCCCTTTCTTCTGCTGTGTGGTTTTGATGAGTCTCCGTGAAGTGGGCTATTCTATGTCAGAAAATGCCTCTTTGCTGCATGTCATTGTTTTTTCCGGGTGTCTTGTAGTTCATTTCATACGGATGAAAAACCTTAGGATTATTCATTGGTAGCCCTTCTATCTGGTCTAGGTGGGCGTGGGGGTTTTGGGGATGGGGGTAAATGCATACAGCATTTATCATGTATTATATTCATTCGGCATACTGTCTGAATTTGGGTGATTAATGCCCTAAAAGTTTTGTAAGTCATGGTTGTAGTTTATATTATACATCATTGTTTTATTTTTGGGTTGGAAGGTGTTTCCCGTTGCAAATGGTCACACAATTAGCTTCGCTGCTGATTGTAAAACATTTCATATTCCTTGAGGTGTATTCATTTTGGAATATCATAATTCTATTTTTTCCTTTTATGAATGATGCTTTGTATCCTTCTGTCATCACGCTCACTGACCGACTTTATCCAATTTCTATTTTACTTAATGATTCAAAATGGAAACAGCGAGAGCATTTGGTAGCAAGATCTGACGATAAGCAAAATTGAATAGTTCATGGGCGAGGCTGGTTTTCTTTCAGACATTGATAAGATAGTTAACTAACTATTTGTTTGTATTCAAGCATATATCTGTTGTTACGGTTCATAGGGCACGATGTCTGAATTTTAACACTTCTTTGTTGCGAATAGATATGATGTTATTTGATCTTTTGGACCGAGTTATAACTTACTGGACTATAGAAAGCTATTTACGTTAAACCAGAATTGGGAGGTGAAGAGGAAAATAAATAAGTAGTTTGTTTTAACTTTGCCTTTCTAAAAGTACTTTAATAACCCTACTGATGCTTTGGTACATAAAGTTGTCATTCAGAACTTGCATGTAAAATTTGACATCATTCCCAGTTGATTTGATATGTTTCGGCACGAGTTTTGGAAGTTAATATGTTCGATTCGTGATGCGATTTGTATTTCGGCATTGTTTTATGTGATTACTCAGGCGGGTTCGTGTTTTGTTATGGAACTTATTGGTATGATATGTTTCGGCACGAGTTTTGGAAGTTAATAAGTTCGATTCGTGATGCGATTTGTATTTCGGCATTGTTTTATGTGATTATTCAGGCGGGTTCGTGTTTTGTTATGGAACTTATTGGTATGTTTCGACGAGGTCCCGAGGACCTCGGGCGTGTTTCGGATAGGCTACGGGCTAATTTTCTCATGTTTTTGGATGGCTGATCTGATATCTGATGTCCCTTATACGCGATCGCGTAGGCTCAGTCGATTGGATACTTCCAACCTAAAAGATGGTAGCTCAAGGTCTGATTCATTTTGTGCAAAACGTAGGCAGATTTGGTTTCATTATATCCTAGGAATATCTTGCAAGCAGTAGTAGAAACTAGTGGAAAGGGACTAGACTGTGGAATTAATTCTATTAATTATGTATTCAAATAATGTAACGGTGGAATTAATCCTATTAAGTATTCAAATTCAAATAATGTAAAAAGCCGTTTGAGGGACAAGTAAAATGTCAAGAAATTATAGTTTCATTCAAGGTGAATTCATACCCTATTTCTGCGTCCTTTCTAGATTCTATTTTTTTATTATTGTAATTTAAAAACCATGTGGGGAAGAGCTAAGCTATAAAATGGCCAAGTTTTTTTTTTTTTTTTTTTGAGTCTTCGTGTAGACAATCACAACAACAACAACGACCCAGTATAATCCCACAAATGGGGTCTGAGGAGGGTAATATGTCTACAATCGTGTAGAGAATCTAGTGATGCATTTATACAGTTCGAACACTAAAACTATCATCAATTCTTATTTAGTGATTTTCTAACAATAATTGTCATGTTGATTCATGGTTTCCTTTGATAATATGGTAAAGATAAAACAATCTCTTTCTTTCTCTTCCTTAAAACAAGTAATTTTTTGGTTTAATTATTCCGTGTGTAAAAAATTAGCCCGATTAATGAGACGCTAAAAAGTTTATTATAGGGATTTTAGCACTCGCTACCGGTGGGACCCATTTTAAAAGCTCGATGCGAGTTTTTCTATTGAGATTCACTGACTTGGTATAAATATGAAAGTTTTTATCGACAATCTAATGATCCACTTATAACGTCAAATAGTAAACTATTAATTAATTCTAATTTAGTATTTTTTTTTAGCAACTACTGTCAGGTTGATTTCTAATTTTTCTTTTTACATGGTAAAAAGGAAATAAGACAACCTCTGGGAAGACAATACGCAATCAGAGGTTCATTGAAGAAGTATTTTGTCTTTAGTCAGCCAATTAAGTAGGCGTTTGGACATAAGAATTGTAAAATTCGAAAAAATGGTGAATTTTTTTTAAGTGAAAATGATATTTGAAATTTAGAGTTGTATTTGGACATAAATTTCAGTTTGGGTTGTTTTTAAAGTTTTGTGAATGATTTGAGTGAAAATTTTGAAAAATGTTATGAAATATTATAATTATATTAGTGTCACACCTCCTTTTTACACACCCGAAGGTATATAGGGGAGTTTTTCCAATTTAAGTGACATTATTCGAAATTGGATTAATTATTCAATTCAGAGTCGCCACTTGGAATAGTTTATTTGGTGTCCCTCACCGATTTATTTTAAATCCCAAATCGAGGAAATTTCGACTTTCCTTTTGAAGTCTGCGAACCATAAATTCTGAGTAGAGAATTCTATTAACCCAAGAGAAGTTGTTAGGCATTCCCGGATTCCGTGGTTCTAGCACGGTCGCTTAAACTAGTACAATTGGCCTATTATCTGATTTTTAAAACATGTTTCAACCTATGGTATATTTTTAACTTATTAGCCGCTTTTAATTATTATTATTTTTTTTTGGAAAAATTCAACGTCATATAAAACACGTATTGAACCACGTCACATGAAATGCACCCGCGGTCCACAACACATTTTATCTAACATTGTTGAGATTTGGATTTGGGCCACACAAAATGCACACCCGAGTTTAGGAAATTAATTTTTTTTTTAAAAAAAATAGCACGCCTAAAGCAACTACGCACTTTCAAGTTTGCGAGGGCCATGAAAAATTCAACTAAATGGAACGCCTCGATTTCTAAGGATTAAAATTAATTAAATGAGGGCCATGAGTTTTGAGATTTTATTTGGCATGACGCGCCTCGATTTTTCTAAAAGGATTGTATTCAATTTAAAGCAAACTACAAATATTCATGATTATGTTTCTTTCTAAAACTACTTTGGTATTATTGCAAGGTCATGATTTATGAATATGGAATTATTATTGAAGAAATATATGATTTGAGTTATTATGGACCTAATCACCCATGTCGGTATCAAATTTGCTATTGACTTAACATCCTTTAATTTGGATCCAAGCTATTACATCGTTCTCTCTCCATTTTGAATACATTTTCCTATCTTTCCCTATGAACTACAATCTCATTGAAGAAACTCATTCTGTCTTTCACGAATTCTATTTCTTGATGCTCTTCCTTCATTTTTTTTGTTCATATCTTTCAAGTTGGTAGATAACCAAAATATAATATACAAATCAAAAGGAAATACGGTGAAAGAAAAATAATGGAAACATTGGTTAAGAAAAGAATGAACCTTTTATAGATGAAGATCTTATTCAATACATATGGAGCAAACAACCATCAAATTTAATGTGCAAATGAACCACAATCAGAGGCAACGAGCGGAAACCTTTCGAACCGAACTCGACTTCGACCTCTTCGGGCTAGTATTTTGGGCTATCTTTTAAATTGAGTTTGAAGCTTTTGGATTTGATTTTTGGTGTGATTTAGCTCCTATTTTTGAGGTATTTTTTTTTAAACAAGGTAATGAATGGCTATATGTTTTTTTTTTGTTGAAAGAAATAGGTAGAAAGAATAAAACTAGTAGAAATTCTCTTTAGCATAGAAGAAGAAAATTTATTTTCTCTCAATATTCTTCCCTCTTCTCTTCTCTTCTTTTCTTCAAATATTTCTCTTCTATTTATAGGAGAATTTTCAAAAAAAATCAGATTTTTTATTAATTTTTTAATTTTTTAATTTAAAAGAAATCCCACTTACATTTTGCTTTTATTTTTTATAAAAAGAATTACCACCTTTCTTTACTTTTATTTTTTTAAATTCCAACTTTAATTACTTTTATCTTATTTAACATCCCGCTTTTTTACTTTTTTAAAAGAGAATTCCACTTATTTTACTTTTCTTAAAAAAACAATCCACTTTTTTTTTACTTTTCTTTAAAAAATTCTACTTTATTTTAATTGGATTTTTTTTTAAATTTTCAGCTACCTTTATATTATTTTTTAATTCCAACTTTCTTTTACTTTTTATTTTTAAAAATTTCCACAAAACTTTACTTTTATTTTTTTTAATTTTTCACTTTCTTTTACTTTTTTAAAAGAGAATTCCACCTACTTTTACTTTTTTTTTTTTAAGTTCATACTTCCCTTTTTCTTATTTTTTAAAATCTCTCNCTTTTCTTATTTTTTTAAATCTCTCCCGAAAATTTTTAAAAAAAATTAATATTTTTTGGATTTTTTTTATTATTTAAAAATAAGAATAAAAATAAAATAATATTAATAGTAATAATTCACCTTCTAAAATTTAGTATTTTTAACCTATAATAAAAAGTATAAAAAAGCTAAAAATTTGTATGTTAAAACCCCCTAAAATATTTACATAGAAGAAATGACAAAAAAATTAAATATTGTCAAAAATTAGGTGCTCACAGCTGTCCCTCTTTGCTTGGAAATATGAAGAGTTTTCAAGCAAAGATAAGGTGAGCCATGTGACTAATTTTTGAACATATCTTTATTCAAAAGAGAAGAAATAAGGATAAGAGAAAAGATAAAGGGTGCAACCGGGTCTTGGTTTTGGACATCATACATATCCTGGGTTATAAGGGAATCAAGTCGCATGTAGTTCAAGAAAAATGATAGAATGATGAGTTGAGGAGTCGAGTGAGGTTCCTTCGAGGCTCCAGTCCGCGATCCTGTTATTATATCAAAAATCAAAGAGAAACTAAACAAGCCTATCAGCTATGAGTTACAAGATTCCTATCTATGAGTCTTGTGAAACTTGTCCTTGATCTTGACTGGTTCTTCCTGCAGACTCTGATCTGAATCTTGATGCTCGTTAGCTGCAACTGCTGGTTCATTCTTCTTCAGCTTTTCGGATCAAGGCGGGACATGCGAAGCTTGTGACTTCAATCATATCTTGAACAGTCCACATCTTTCTCCACATCAACACTTTGAGTTCATTTCTTTTTGCTCCTTTTATTTTTTTCTTTATTTTG